AATGTATATGCATTTGCCTGCTTTCGCAACTAGAAATGGCTATATATATAAATTAAATCTGGTGACTATGCTATGCAAATTTGTTCTACAAGCATGTTATTAAGAAAGTTAATTAACATCCATTCCAAAATAAATTAACATAAGGGATAAATGGTGATAAGTGTAATTAATTAAGCAAAATTTTATGTAAAATGCCAAAGACAATGTAATAGATTGCATTAAGGAATTTCAACAGAACTTTTGTAATTGCATTAGACAGTGCTTCTTCTTCTTGAAAATGCCTGAAGCATTTCAAATTTATTGATTACTATTAGGCAAATTGAACTGAAACTAGTTAAACTGTTTGTGAGTGCTCACAAGATATATAAGTTTGAGAATGTCTAAGCATAACCGATTCGTAAGCTGCCTTTAATAACAAAGTCCCGTCGATTACGTGTGAAATTCAATTGTTGTCTGACTATGGGTTTGCACAACAAGGGAGACTCAAAGTGCTTCAGCAATATCGACCTTGAGAAGTGCGAGTTGGCAGTGCTGGGAACACGAATTCAGTTACATTGACTTGAGTCGAGGGAGAGAGAGAGGGAGTTGAAGTTCAAAGAGCTTAATAAATAACTGCGTTTAGAGTCACATAGTGAAGATAGTTTTGCGATTAAAATGTTCGCCACACTAAATTTTAAGCACACAAAAATTGAAATTACGCTTAGGTCTTAAATCCTAATAAAGCAGTAATGGAAGTGATATATGCAAGTAAATCTTGACAAAGATGAATTGCTGCTACTCTAAGTTATGTCATGGTTGCAAAGCGATTTAATTAAGCCAGAGTGCCATTATCCATCACTAAAATAGATCGGAACTTCGAATTAAGGAACATTCTCTCTCACATATGTATACGTGGATTGCAGATGTGGACATCAGATGTGCATCTTTCCAATTTTGCCAAAGTGTCAATCGAGTCAAGGTCAAGAATGACATGCACTATCTAGAACTACTCACTCGCATACTTATAAACCTCTCCCCCTTTCTCACAGCATGATTAAAATTTGGAACGGTTTTAGTTGTACCGTGAGTAACGATAACGATAATAATTACGGCTATTTAAATAAAAATTAAAACAAATTCGTTATCAGCTTGAGTTTTTATCATAAATGTAGGAACTAGTAAATGATAGGACGATTTCTATCATGATTTAAATCTAGTGGCTCATCAACAAGAGTTAACATACATCTCAAGTCTAATCAGAACGCATTTCCTAGAAAATAATTTTGAGGTCCTGACGCTTGGTTTCAAGATATTGGTGATTTGTGGCATATTTCAGTAATTCTTTTAAATTCTCAGTTTGTTTATACCCGTCGCTCCCCCATCTTTTCCAATCACGAATGGAACCACGATTTCCTTTTAGTTAATTTTGTACATGAAACGGCTGCAATTAGCCATAGATACTACCCCATTGCCTCTATATTTATCAATGAACCAGTCTGCAATGGATTTGCACATTGTTTTGAAGACGAGCTCAATATGCACTGCTCTAATCACTCCTGACAGTTAACTTCTCTGAATGAACAAGTTTCTTTCTTACTATTTCAAGGCACGGGAACACAGACCATCTAACAAATTATTTCCGTTGAAGTGGCCAGCTATTAATCAGATACTTTCAGGGGAATTAGTTACCACGCTATTGATGATAAGAAAGGATGGATTCATTTCTGGACGCTGCTTTATTGACTACATACTATGATCAAATAGTTCCCATTAAGAATATCGGAATGTGGTTCCACGAAACAATTTCAGGTAAAAGATCTGCAAAATGTGAAAATACATGGAAAATGAAGCCAAGTGACTACATTCTATCTTTCAAGACCACTTATCACGGAGGTCCCTTGTCGGGAAACCATAATTCTGATATTCATTCTTATTTCAACTTGACCAGAGCAGTTGGCCATTCTACTCTGGAAAGTGGATTTGCAGCTCCAAACTTCCTTCTGCATGGAGGTTCAATAGCTGATCTTTTCCTTATTTCGAGATTGTATCAAATGGGTTATATTTTAAGGCGGATTTATGACATGATTGGGGTGTGTGATAGACTTACCTCCACGTGGCACACTCTGGGCAACGTATACTCGTATGGCAAAACGTCTATTAACTGGCAGTTGACTTCTCACTTCAAATTACCATGACCCGGCTGCATGCCATATTTGACCTCTCACTGTACTCATCTTACCTTTTCTCTGCCTTTGTGTCTGTCTCTTTTATATCTGTGAATCATTATTCTGTCACCCTCTCGACTTTTTACCACTTTGATATTCCTCCTCCTCTCTGTGAAGTCCGAAGTCAGCTAAAGAGCTAATGATAATTATCAAAACGCCTGCCATTTGAAACAAATAAAATATTTAACCATGACTACATTATATTTTACCACTTTTTTGTCTTCATAGCAATGTGAAATAGCCACATTTAGGCCGGTAAGTTATTGAGATAAAGAACACTTATATTAAGTTCTATATAAAGGAGGTTTAAACTATTTTCCTCTAATGAAGTTTATTAATTCAATAGTGACTACTTGGAAGGAGGGGGGGGGAGATCGGAGCTGAAGATAAATAAACTTGAGTAGAAATTGTAGTTTTGTCCTGACTATCAGCGAATCGAGATCGCACAACTGAACAAAAGAGGGGATCAGAAATATGAGAGCCATTTAACTGAAGTAAATATGGGTATATTTTATGATCCAGAATGCTCTACCCTTATGACCTCACAGGCCAACCTGAATGGCTATCACTGTATCATGTTCTGCCCTTTATGAGTACATCCTCTCTGCAATGAATAAGATCTAACTAACATGCGGATATCCTCGAATACTATCGGGAAGCCACAATGACTCTATTTACTTACAGACAATTAGGTTGAATTACAGTATGTTTAATTTATCTGATATACTCCTTTTCCATTCCTACCATTTGATCTGGATAGATATGGAGATTGAGGCTAAGTGTCCTAAAAAGCATGCCATTTAAACCAATGGCTTTTAGATTTGAGGCACAACAATAAAATACACATTTAAGTGCTGTCGACTGTCTTTACTTATGCTTATTAGAATGGAGTCTATATATATGATCTGTAAATAAATACCCTTATTGACTTCATTCTATATTAATAACGAGTATATAAAGCATTCGTCATCTTCCCTGCGGTCGAAATGAATTCCCAATTTATGAAAAAATTTGATTACCATAACTTAGAGATTTCTATTTAATCCTGAAATTTTACAAATCAGATTCCACAAAAATTGAATTCTTAGGCTAGTGACCGTGGTAGTTTTGAAAGCTATTTATTCCTTTTATTCAAATGTATCATTAACACAAATGTTCCTAAATTTCCTATCACCAGTGTCAGGTAGGCCAATTCTGACTTGGTTAAGCGTTAATTTCACTGTATATTGTCGAACGCATTATTTGTGATGTCATCTGAATTCCAGTGCGAAGAATTTAGAATGCTTAAAAAGTGACAACTGTTTTGCCAATCCAAAAAACAAACCAGTCAGTCATATTTACGGAAATTAGCTCTTCAAAAACAAGAATATATTTATATAGTAATTTCATTTTATTCAATCCGTATATGCTCGTCGGTAAGCAGCTCACAGAATTAAAATAGGTTTGGAGTGGGGAAACAAAATTTATGAATTTATCGGAACGTACTTTCGAATGCTTATTTGTAAATCCTATCAAAAATTATTAATGGGCATTTTCTCGTACGTCTTTCAAAATATATTCTAGTGAAAGCTTTCACAGATCTTTAAAAAATAATAGAGATGACGAGTTGAATTACAACGTAAGTTCTCAGTTTTGAGTGATTTGAATTAAAAAGTTAAAAAATGTGAATGAGCATGAGTATTTTGACGGTAGTATACAATAAAATATAACACATGAACCCAGCTTTAGTGCTGTCAAAATGCCTTTTAAGTAGCAGAGATTGGATAGTATATTTCAATTTTCTTTTAATATTATATATCATTACTGAAAACTTAAGCTGTTTGGCATTTGTGTCTGAAATAAAGCAGAAACACTAGGTTTCCAAAAGCTTCATGAGTAGAATTCGTTATTTTGAAACAAAAGTAATTATTATGACAGAATTTCGCAATGTTATTTACGTAAGTTAAAAATGTGTTAATTTTGCGGAGAAATAAGATCTAACCTCGCTGATATTTTTAATATGTTAAACCAAGTTTATGGTTCAATGCTGTTCATTTTGCTCTTGTGGTGATATTTTATAAATGATGTAAAATTACCTTAATACTTTAACGGTACATATGGTGATCTGATATAGGTTAAAGATAGACAAAAGAGCCACATTAGAGACTTTTAAAATATTATACAATCATTTTGAATAAAAAGAATTTGGCATTATTTTTCTGTTAGATAAATCACAATAGTAATTACTAACTTAATTGCCTGCCACATTCGCCAAAAGTAAAATACAATGGATTATTGACAAATAACAAAAATTTTCGAAATATTTTTTGACTACCCAAATTATTTATGATTAAAATAACAATCCATAAAAGAGTAAATTAAATCATAATTACGGTGATATTCAGTTCTATCTAACACAGATAAATGGGTGAAATTATCATAACCTTGAAACCAATTGATCAAGAGTTTGGCGAGTAATCAAAACTTGGAATTCTAGCCGGGTTTATACAATTTCGATTGTGATAGGCTATTGCAGGAAATACTGATAAAGTCAACGGTAGAACTTGAGTGAATTTTTTATTTGATTTTAATTTTGTCATTTATGTATTAATTTTAACTGAGCTTTCTGATTGAACGGTTTCAAATATCAAATTTTAGTTTTGGATTTAATGAATTTATTAATTCCCTTCATCTAATTATTTTAATCTTCCTTTGTAAATGACTATAATTTTAAAATAATTCGTATTTTATTGTCAAAATTGGTTGATTTAATTCAACCTGCAATGTATTTTACTTATTGTCGTTTTCATTGTTTAGATGGCAGATAAGAGTAAATCTAAGGCTCACAGGGTAGTTCATCAAAGTAGTGATATTGACGAACTCGAGAGTGACAATTCGAGTGGTGATTCAATATCACTAGTAAGCTATCTGAACATAAATACGGATTCCGAGGAATCGCAACTCAACAAAGATGTGTAAGTCATTTTTCAATACCCATAAATTTCGGGTAATACAGAGATTTACAAAATCTATCCTACTTTTTTACTGTTCACCCAGACTTATTACAGATGCTCAAATTGTACAGGTTGGGGATGCTTCCGTAAGGACAAGGTCTCACGTTCAAAAACTAGTTGATAGTAGGAAAAATAGACAAACTCGAGAACTAAGAAAACAGAAAACTTTGAGTGATTATCTATTTGAAGCCGTGAGTGACCGGGAGGGAGACTGCGATACGCCTCAGGATTTAGTTTCTTCTAAATGCAGCACTACTTTGGTGGGTTATAAATTTTCAAATCAGAGATTGCTTTTTATTTTATTTAATTTTATTTCCTTTTCCAATTGGCACAGGAAGTCAACAAAGCTTCATTATCTAGAATTTCACTCGAAACGGAATTTAAATACATGCTCGCCTATGAAACTCAAAACTTCCAATATCTTGTTGAAGTTTTTGGTGTAAGATTTGCTTCCTTATTTTAATTGCGCGCTAATTTTCGTGCTATTCCAGATGTTATAATTTAGTCACACCTTTCTAGATTTTATTTTGACGCAAACTCTACTGAATAGCCAATAGTGTTTTATTTTGAAGATCATATGATCTTCTAAAAAAACTGTACTTTTTACAATAGAGTCTGACCTTGTTAGTTGAAGGTTATTAATGAAAACACCATCAAAATATTAGATAAACATAACAGCACGTGTTTTTACATCGAATTTCCATTAACTCTTTTGATACTTTGTTATTCTTATTATTTCAGGAGAAGAAAGCAATTCTTTCCGCTCTTGGAAAGCACAATTCCGCAAATGTATTCGACACGCTGGCTGAAATTCATGCTAATCAGGGATGGATAGTTTCATATCTGGAAAATATCTGCAATAATAACAAGTCTCAAAGTGTCGAAGAATTAATGAATAAATTGGTAAGTATATACATTGTGTTTGCATACGTTTTTTGTCATATTGAACTTTCAGTAATTAAAATAAACCATAAGATGATTAGTTACGATGTCACGGGACTCCTTTGTTTATCAAATTTTATTTTAAATAAGAGGCCAATAGCCCCGTAAGTAGAGTACAAAATTTTTCAGATGAATTTTTTATCTGATGGTGATTTTCAAAAAGACTGCAATATCAAGGAAAAAAACATTGAAATTCTAATTTTTCTTATTAAATTCGACACACAAGCCAAGATATATGGAAATTCTTCACGTGATTGATTGATGTGAATATTAATGAAAATTAAACAGAAATGATCTGATGGCGTGCGCAAGATTGAAGGTTGTCATAAAATAGATTTAAATGCGCCACTTATGAACTAATTTTACTGTAATCAGCGCCTTAATTAACATTGACAGTTATGACGTGACAGAATGACACTAAAATGGATGTGACGCGCACTATCATTCATAAACTCCCCTATGAAACAAGGCAGAGATTCATGAAGTAGATAGTACGAATAACGACAAGTAAATAATCGATGTGACCGCTGCTGTATGAGTCATGATGATTAAAAGTGGCCAGTTTATAGATAAAAGTGGGCTTTTAATCATTATGGTTATATTCGACCATTACTTTGGTAAATGGAACTTCATATTTAAATTGTTATTATTTTTTACCCGAAAAAATTTTAATTGGTAAGTGCTTGTTAAATATTCATAAAATCGGTATTTTTTGTTCAAATGTGCTAAATTTTAGGGTAGTAAGTTTTGTATTTTTTTGGAGTAAAATCAACCTTTAAGATATTTACGAGATATTATTGAGTTCTGAGAGTTGTGGTTGCTTTTGGGTACTAATCAGATTATTACGCTTACGGATGACCTTATATTGCTTAAAACCTTGATATCATTTTCGACATCCTTTATAAACTTGACCGTTTTAGTGTGAGCGTCAGAAATTACTCGCGGAGTATTCTCAATTATTACAAACTCGATTGCAAAGCACATCAGTGAAGCTGCAGTGCAAAGCGTCTTCGGTAAGTATCCTATTGTTATCAATGCAAACTTTCAATTAAACTTTGCGTCTAGTTGTAATATACGCAGGGCTTTTGTTTTGGACTATTTTAAATTACTAAATATTGACGTACACTCTGTAGACATGCCAGAGATACGTGGGTAAGTAACCTAAACGCGTGATCCTAAAAACAAGCAATATCAACAACATGTCCGTGATATTTATCATTCATGTAACTTTCCACTGTTTTGCTCTGTAGAAATGTTGAAGAAACCCACCCATTGGGCCTCAGAAACTATTGAGCGTCTTAAGGTAAGCAGTTTCTAAAATAGGCTCATGAGGTCATTAAAATTAGTTCTGGTATATACACCTCATCAAATTAGTTGGCTGGTAGCTTCGTTTTATAAAAAAAGTTGGGTCGGGGAAGCTGAGTTTAAATCCTTTTATTTTGTATTATAAAACTTTTTCTCACTGTTTCCTCTTTTGTTACGAGTCTAGTACTAATGAGCTTATTTTGAAAGAGGGCCGTACAGTCCTACAGGGCGTTAGAGGGTTAACTGCTTATTAACCACCTGGCACGTTGCTAATGGGAAATTGGAAGCAGGCCGTAACTGGAGAACGCACCAGCAATGCAATATGGAAGCACATGAGTCGGCAAACAGACTAACACATGTGACGAATGTGAATTAGCATAAGAAAGTAGCTAGTATTGAGAAATGCTCAGTCAAAACTCATTGCCACTTGAGGGGTTGAAGACATTTGTTCCTCACTCTAACTTCAGTACCCTTCTACATTAATGTTCTTAGTTTAAATATAAACTTATCTCTAAGGTAATCTAAATGAATATTTCCGACATGTGAATTATAGTAAAACATTTGTGCGCAATTCATTGAATCGTTTGAACTCTATTTACCCAACGTTTTGTCTCTTGAAAGTGAGTTCTTGATGGAATTTGCCTCTATTCTTAAGAACCCTCGTCCGTAACCATATTTGATTATTGTTACACCCAATCAGCTGTTTGGTAAATTTTCTAGTGAGTCTAATGGCCTGGTCTATCCCTAAGATCCCCATTGAAACGTTCTTTTTCAATTACCCCATATGTCCACATTGTCATCTTTGATAGGCGAAAAAAATAAGAAGCATTTTCCACTAAACCTTTGTTTGTTTCTGCATATTTTTTCCTAAATCAAATCCCGTATGCTTTAGAATAATGGCTTAGAAAACTCTCGTTTTTTTGGGAGAAATAATAATGTAAGGAGTTGTCATATAGAATAAAAAGTAGTTTATTACTCTTCTGGGTTCTCACATGTTTTATTGTGAAGTGGGGTTGAGCTGGACGATAAATTCCAGTGCTCACTTAGAAACTTCGAATGAATACGAGACATAGAATTCACCATTTCTATGAGAAGCACTTCCTTCCCTTTCCTATATACAATATCGGGCACAGTGTGAGTTACCTAAATACCTGTTTCCTTGTTATTGAAGGATAAAGGGATTCCTTAAGTAGATGAAATTTAGTTTTGCACCATGTACAAACAAACATAATGGAAGTGACTAATACACTACCCCCTCACTAATCGCATTTGTTCATATTCCAGCGAATTGAAAGTTATATGGAAAAGGACGATCCAAATTTCGAGATTATCAACATTGCTAGTGAAGAACTCCAGGACACTTCTGGTAACTTAGCAATTGGGAAACAAGTTAAAGAACCGGTTAGTTGATAATCCCTTACCAATGATAATTTTTACTATTTTGACCTTTCCGCACTTTTGTTCTCCAATTGCTTGAGCTTATTTTATGTTTGTAAGGTAATTCTCTGTGTTTTTCCTATTGTGTTGTCAGATTAAGCACGCGATCTTCGTAGAGTTGCCCAATGAGTCAAACTCGGAGAGGAAACTAGTGTCAGTTTTCCTGTTTGACAATGCTCTTGTGTGTGCTCGTCAAAGGGTTATCACTTTGCACAAGTATGTCTTCTTTTGTTTAAACACCCTCGTAATCTCACTCAATGAAATCCACATTTTATAAATTACAAAAATGCTCAATTTAGTAAAGACTGTCATAGTATGTAATGATACACCCACATATTCTTGAATATCTCTATATGTGTATGTCTGTCACTGATGCATTTTTGAACTCAATATATCTGAAGCATCGCACGTTGAGTACAGATAACGGCATACTTGCTAACAAAATGCCATCGATTCCAGATAAGGCTGTCTTAGAAATAGGCCTGATCAGGCATGATTTCTTTCATAGAACAATTAAACTTCCCAAGCCTAACGGTTTAGAAACGACTTTTACTGAGTAAGGTGACCATGAGCTAAGTAGGACTGAATGGGGCGGTGGAATAGGGAGAAAGGAGATGTCAGTACTAAGGAAGGGGAACCCCGGAGTGTGGTAGACTAGACGAAAGTATCTAAACTTTGAGACTTTCATTTTTTAACTTTGTGTGGTTGCAGAATGAGCAGCCAATCAGGAATAGCCAATTAACAATTTAAAATAGACTCAGAAAGGCGACAACTGACCTCAAGTCAACGGCAATAGATTCTAGCTTTTTGGCTGTAATAAAGGATTAGGAGTTTAAATTACCAAGGGCTTCCATTTCTATGCATTGGTTAGATTAGCACTATCTGATGAATAGTCTCTAATATGAACAAACTGGAATAATTCCTGGAATGAATGAAGTCGATGAACCCTAGTTTTACTCCTAATTTGCCGACTACTGAATACTTGCTCTTGTTAATGAAATTGCAACACACGAAAAATTGCATGGATTTCATTTTGTTAAGTCAAAATTGGTTATTTATTCCCTGAAAGAGCCTTGGAGGAATTGCTATTTCATTCAATGCATATTCCAACATCCCAATGCGAAAACATTTTACGAAAAGTTCATAAATTTGCATAGGGAAAAAATATTGCAGAATAATTTTAAAGGATCAAAGTGAGCCAAACGTTAAATTGGGAAAAGAAAACTTAAAGATATAATAAACATTAAGTACCACAACATTTTGTCTCCCTTCTCATTATTTTTTTGTCGTATTGCAATACGTCATATCTTGCTGTATATATTTTTATTTCTCCCAGTGATTTGCGCACAACGAGAGTTTGATGCTAATTATCACAGTGAAAAAAAGTTAGCTTCAGCAGCAAAGATTACGAAGTCAAGCCAATAGAGATGTAGATAAGTGGTTTGAAAGCCCATTTTCTTTACTAAGAAAGGAATGACAGTAATTGGTAAAAATTTCTTTGCGAACACAAAGGCAGAGTTAGTCCACTTCTTTTGGTCACTGGTCTTAAATATCTCTGCTTGTCATTTATTCACTAAGTTCAATGGGTGGGCACCAGTTTTGGTAAATTGATTTCTCAGAGTATCGATAATCAATACCTACTGATTGCGTCCTATTAAGAGCAAATCACCCGCCTAGACTATATTATGATATTTCCAAACATTCTCAGTAAAATCGGACAATTTTATTTTTAGGCATTATACACAGGATTTGGAGAGTGACACGAATTCGGTCTCAACTGACCTGAAAGACCAATCCGGGTTCGTAATGAATGCAAAGAGCATTACTCGATATGAAATTAAGTGGTTTGTTTTGCTCAACCAAATTCAATTCGTTGAAACTACTGGAGTAGGTATGTAGCCCCACATTCTGAAACACATTTTTTTTCCCACACATTTTTCCTTTAACCCGCCTAACTCCTTAAGTGGCTTTCACATTGAAAATTAGTTGCCTCTTCACACATATTTCCAGCACTTTACTATGAGCACACGTGAAATAGTAATTCTGATATAAGCATTCCTTTGAAGCTTTCGATGAGAACAGTCTTCGGGAGAGGCTCAAAACCATTGAAAAACTTAAAGGTGACATTGTTATTGCTCGACAGAAACTGCAGGAAGAAATGAATAAGGTGGAAAAAGAGGTATATTTTAGTGGCAAATAATTCCAAAAAAATTTTACAAAAATTTTTCAATTGTCAAACTTTCATTTTTAGTCTAAAAGACATAAATTAAAATATCCGAAGATCCGACGGCTTCGATCTCAAATTCATAGTCTGGTAAGATCACGAATAACAGCTTACTTATTCATGTTTCAGCAAGCGGAGTTGATTCTTCAAGCTCCAAAGTTGCCTTTATTTATACATACTGCAGACAGACAATCATATTGTCTTCTAATGTCATCAGAAAAAGAACGGATTGTTTGGAAATCGGCGATCTTGCAAGCGAAAGCAGATTATCATCCTCAAGATAAGCACCGAAGCCCTACTCCAGTGAGTCCAACGGGAACAATAATGCATCCTTTGATTTGAATATTATTAAATCGATTCTAACGCGTATTTATGTCCAGTCATTAAAGCACAATTCTTCAATAAAACCTTTGTCGAGCGTTTTCCGAGATACCAAGCGAAAATCCGACAGTCCAGTTAGAGTGCGTGAAGGTTTAGAGCCAGAATCAAATGATTCAATGAAAAACGAACTATCCTATATCATAAATCATTGCAAGGTGAGTAATGTTGGATTGGCTGAAGGTAGTGGAAAGGGTATTTTAAAACACCTTTTTTGTCCTTTAAATTATAGGTTGCTTCTCTCAATAATTTTGGCAAAGTTGTTCTTTCGGGTATTTTTTATAAAAATTTTATTTTGAACTATCCAATTGTCCTATAACTTTGAGAATCGTTTCTTTATTTTAGGCAGCGCTATTAATGGAATTTTGGAGGTTTATATTCACGAGGTTACAGGCTTGACGGAAAGAGATTGTAAGAGTTCACTTTAAACTAGGATGTCTAATGTAAATCTATCTAAACTTATTCTTTTCATCCTAACGTATTCTTTTTTTTTAGCCTATTATATAGCAATAGAAGTCGATTTTTATGGCCACTTTGAACTGGTTGGCAAGACGAAAAGCATTAGCAACACAACGAATCCAAGTTGGAATCAGGTTTGACTTTGAATAATGGATTTTGTACATCGATGTTTAGTCCCTTTAAGTAAAAAATATCTGATTCTTTAATTTAGTCATTTATACTGGAACTGGATACGTCAAAAACTATTTGTTTTACTCTCTTCCGGCAATCAACAGCCATTGGACAGCTTGAACTTCCAGTATGTTTGATATGACCTTGAAATTCTTTATTATTAAGGATAATTTCCTGAATTAGACACTTATACCATTTAAGTAAGAAAGCAAAAATCTATCTATTAGTTACACTTACATTTTTGCAAATATTTAATCTCTTATAGTGTGAAATACATTTCTTAATTATGAATGAAGGTGTTTACATTGTAAATATTTATGTTAATTTTAGGAGTAAACACTGAGTGTTATTATTAAATTAAAATAGAATTCGAAAATTGAGTAAGCTTCAGAATACCAGCGTGCAAATTTACGAATGTTTAATGGTAGAAGAATTGTTATATGGTCAGATATTTGAGGCGTAAATTAGCTACTTGAATGCTTTTGGGTGTTTTCCATAAAGCAGAGATTTCGAAAGGTGTTTCATAAGACCGCAGGATACAGAATGGTGATTTATCTATAGCTAGTCTGCTTTCACTGGCAATCTTGCATTTATTGATTGTGTGGCATTCTGCTTTCACGTCTTTATAGTTATTCTTGTCAGAACAAATGAAAAACGTTAATATCGTTTTGGTAGTGGTTTGACAATCAGCAATGAATCATGCTAACAGACTCATATCAACATTAGTTGAAACTGGTTGGTTTGGTGGTAATACAACTTTTTTTTATTTAAGGTCGTATCGAAGCCTGTTGAACATTCAAACTCGGACACATTAAATAAACCCGAGTACAAAATTTTAAGATTGTATTCTTTCTGGGCAATATGCACTTCTGAATGGCATATTTATGGGAGCAATTTCTTATGAATTCGCAGGACAAATGTAGTTTTTGAATAATTGTGATGAAGTACACGTACAGCAGCAGCGTGTATTGAGAAATGTAGTTATAACGCTAACTACCATTCTTTTTACAAGGTCACTATAATATCTGGACAACGGAATTCACCACAATATGTGGTGCAAAAAATTTGCCTCCACACTCCTTGCCCTCTTTACTTTTAGGTCTGAAGCAACTCAGGTTTAAAGTCAAAGCGTTTGTAATAGTTAAGTTGGCAAAAGAACTAGGTCCAACTATTGAGCTATTGTATTTTGAACATTTAAAGTGTAATTCGATTTTTTTTGGCTTGCGAGCTTCTGAAAAAACAAGTGCGTGCCTAATACAATTCTCAACGAACGGGCTTAATGAACTTCCTACTCCTAATATCGATTGATTAAATCAAATATCACTACAATTTTCCTTTTTTTATTAAAAATAGCTAGAGGTCGATCATTTGGACCAAAAGAACGAGTCTTTCAATTTGATTGGTCTTGATGATACTACCAAAACGGTGGGTTTTTTAGTATTCCCCCTTCCCCTTTGAAATTGCCTCGTCATACATTAATTTAATACGTATTTTTTTCAATGGATCTACTAATAGATGAGTTTAAAACTCTCCATTTCATACAACGAGGGTTCAAGCACACGAGGGCGGGAAGACTCGAAGAATCAATTAAATATGTTTGGTCTTACCCTCACTGAGGTTCTAAGGTTTGTTCCCCCCCCCCCCCCCCCCTTTTTTTTNTGGGGTTTTAAGGTTTTTCCCCCCCCCCCCCCCTCCATTTTTTTGATACTTCAACTAATTCCGCATGAAATAACAAGTGTTCCATGCATTCGTCAAGCCAAGATCAGGCCAATTTGGAGCTCCTGCAACGAAAATTAAGTAATGAAAAGAAGTACGCGAAACTTAGGGTTCCTGTGCTGGTGACTGCGTGTGTTGAGGAAATTGAAAGACGAGGTTTACTGGAGGAGGGAATCTATAGGACAAGTGGCACTACCACAGCCATCACCTTCCTCAAAGACCAATTCGACCAAGGTTAGTTGAACGAATTATTCTCCCAATATTTGCCCACTTTGATGGTGATGATTAAAGGCACTGAGAATTTCAGTTGAATTAAATGATAGGTTTCATCCCTCCACTAGAGTTTTCCTACTCTCAATTTAAGTGGCTAATTCACCAATATGTGCTTTGTTTATGACAAGGCACTTGGAAGTTGGACGGTACTTCAATTAGTAGCTTCAATAATTTCTCATCAAGTGAATGACAAGTGGTCAGTAAGATCCCTATTACCGATTGCTTTATTGTATCATTAAAGCAAACACGGGATTATGTTGCAAAGTCTTTAACAATTTTTGTTAATAACTGAAAGAAAAGGTTAAGAAATGGATTGAAAAAATATGTTCCGTTTGGGTATTATTTCCATACTCATTCCACCATAATTTGCCTTATATATTACTACTAGTATTGCCCACAATAATTCAAATGAATTATATTTTTATCGTTTGAAGGAATTCACTTTGAATAACAGTAAGTCTCGCCTGATTAGAGGGAGGGAATCAAATCGACACGTTGGGAAACGCCAGGATGACAGGTTAACCCATTACTTCCTTGATTCTTGGACTGGGGTTGGGCAACATTTACCAAATGGGCGGTTCGCATAATGAAATTCAAATTTCTCGCTTCGTCGCTTTAATTTCAGTGAATGCTTGCCCGGAATGTTTAGTGCTTATTGACCTGTGTTATTTTATCAAGAAGGGTTGATTTCGTTCGTCTCATTCCAGTTTTTCCACGATTGGTTGGATAGATAAATTTTCTTACAGACAACTCACTAGCTTACAGTTTTGGCATAATAATGATGTGATAAATAAAATTTAAAGAAGTCCCCAAACTCTATTAAGAAAGTTGTATTTATTTTAGTTTAACTAATCTAGATTATCTACTCTCCATCAGCTTCTGTTGGTATTCAATTAGAGTAAAATTTCCACATATTGCTGCCCCTATAGCAGTCGCAAAGAGTCATTCAAATTACAAGTCAAAATAATTACTTATGTTTGAGTACTAACGAGGGATCTTTAAACAAGTGGGACCTCAAAGTACCCCACATCATAAAATTATCATCTCCAAACATTCCATTTGGTCTCAGACGGATGATCTTAAATTGTCATTGATCTGCATTGCAGGAATAGCATGCTATGGCTCGTACACCTTATGGTTTTACAAACATGAGGTCAATGTTTGAAGTCATACATATACGTGGGTTCGATTTCTACCAAGTTGTATTTGCCAGTTTGGATCAACGAAGCACTCGTGAGAAATGAGGATGGAAGTGGCGCGACTACTTAATCCCCTAAAGTAATTACACCAAATGGGAGAATTGATGCTTGGTTGCGAATTTTGCTTCAACTGAACACCTTGGTAAAATGAACCTAATAGTAATGGGGTAGTTTTAGTTGGATTTTTACTTTTCTAACACCTTTGGTAAAAATTCACACTCTTGGAGGTGGTGGTGGTGGTGGTGTGGGGGGGGGGGTTAGGTGGTGGTTCAAAATGATCCGATTTCAAAATATTTGGCTATGGTGTAATAAAATGAGTACAATCTTGCGCAAAATGTTATGCTTTGTTTTTTTTGTTTATGCCTCCAGATACAGTGTCAGCTGCTAAACAGATCGGCGACTACGACATCAACGTTGTTAGCGGCCTATTAAAGTTATTTTTCAGGAATCTTTCAACGCCGCTTATACCCGACAATGTTATGAATAAGCTCATCGAAGCGTATGGTAATTATGCTATTAATCAATTTTTTTAATTTGGAGATATTTTTTGTTATTACATTTAATATCTTGTGTAGTTGTATAATTTGCCTAAACGATTTTGATGTTTTTCAATATAGCCATAGAGGATGAGAAGGAGAAGATGACAGGATTTAGCGCAGCTCTGAAAACTTTACCTACGGCTAATTTGGACACTTTTCGATATCTATTGGATCACTTTATTCGGTAAGTTAATCCTTTCGGCATTAGCAAAGTGTAATTTACTGCGTATCATTGGAGAGCCTTAGAAAAATAATGATCATGATTACGATTACAATTAAGGTTAAAATTGCGTATAATTCTAATGCGCACTTGGGAAAAAAACCAGTCATGTGGGTTTCAAACCTGAAATCATCACAGATCATGGTCATCTAAGTAATTATTATACTTAACAATAAGTTGGGTCATTTGCAATGGAGTTAGGGGGTACGCGGTAGACTTATCTCCACAAGGGGCACCCTGGGTAGCGTATACTCATACAACAAAAGTCTATGGACCAGCAGTTGACTTAAAACTACCATGAACCCACTGTATGTCACATTCCACCACTTCCACAGTACTTATCTTACCTTTTCTCTGCCTTTGTGTCTGTCTCTTTTATATCTGTGAACCACTCCTCTGTTCCTCCTTCTCTCTGTGAAGTCCGAAGTCAACTAAAGGATTAATAATAACTATCATAAAGTCTGCATCATTCGATATAATTATATAATGGAGTTAGGTGAGGCTGAAATGCAAGATTTCCGTTCATATTCAACGAGTATTGGCAGATACATTTTATCTTGTTTACTGGTTAATTAGGACATTTTGAAGAATAGTTGCAGTATTGTATTTTTTCATGCATTCCTCCTTCATATTTACGATAATTACCATCATTTTTAACATGTTTCTATTTGCAGTGTGTGCCAACATGAAGAACAGAATAAAATGAACGCTGGCAATCTTTCATTAATATGGGCGATGACCTTGTTCCAACCTCCCTCTGCCTCCCTACGAAGTGGCGTTGCCAATCCCACTGCAATTGACGCAGCTTCACTTCAGAGCGTTCAAAAAGCGACTTCCAATAGCATGCTTCAGACCACCATTTTAAATACTCTTTTAGTCTCCTACGCCTCCGGAAAGCTTGACTTATCCCGTCAGTTAATCGCACATTTGTGATCTACTTAATACAAGGGTTTTTATTTCGCGCCTATTGTCTCGATGAAATAAATTGACGCCTTACAATTGATTGCTTTTCACCACTTATAATATTATGGTAAAAGAAATAATTCAATATTGGTAAATTATCAATGATTTTGGCATTAATATGATTTCAAATAATGTGTCACCTTTCTATTTCTTATTTGTAAAATAAAGCAGATTCAATTCTTAAAATAAATAAAGCGGGATTATGAGAAGGTATTTTTAAATCCCTTTTAATATTTGATGAAATCAGGCGTAGTGCTTTGAACAATTTTCCTCCAAGTCAGCTTGAGTAGTTCGTTATACATATCTAGTGCTCTTATTCTTCATAAAGCTCATATGCAATGAAGACGCTATCGAAATTGTCATGATACAGGAGTTCAGCTTAATAGACTTGTATCAGTTTGAAATAGTAATTTGATTTTCAAATTTTGATTTAAATGCGAAGTTACCAGAGATTCAATGTTAAATGGGTGCAAGGACATGCTATGGAATAGCTTTTCTATAGTTTTTTTTAAAGTGTGTTTAGTCAATCATACCCAGAAAGTATGAAGAGGCACGTGAACTAGTTCAAACATTAGCAATTGGCGTTTTTCATTGGCTACCCTATTGTGCGCTCTTTTGAAAATATTCCAATGGCATCCCATGCTGGAAAGACTCCTGTTTTACTTCGAATTGTAGTATTGAGATTTCTTTAGAACTATAACTAAGTCTTTCATCTAAAGAAATGAGGTAGAAATAAAATTGATCGACACATCTGAAAATGAACATTAACTTAAACTCTACAAAAATTAAATGCATACTCGGAGACATTTCATAAAAAATGCATTAATTCATTCGAAAGCCAATACGTGAGAACCATAGAGATCCCAACGTTTGAGGGAGGAGATGCATACCTGAGAACTTGAAATCTACGTCATTCTTCCCGTATTTTGTTTATACAGTTGGGATAAATGCAATAATGTGCAAACATTTATTAGATAAGATATAAATGCCAAATGGCCACTTGCTAGAAACAGCAGAATCACAAACTTAAACTCATTCAAATATCCAGGGTTAGGGATTAATACAGAGGGAACAATGCAAGACCACTGCCCACAATATCTTGAAACTGAGCAGCAAATCCCAAAGATTCGCACTATGGTGAAGTGCCAGGGATGTGCGATAGACTTACCTCCACGGGGTGCACCCTGGGCAACGTATACTCATACGACAAAAATGTCTATTAACTTGCAGTTGACTTCTGACTTCAAACTGCCATGACTCCACTGTTTGTCATATTTCACAGCTTCCACAGTACTCACCTCACCTTTTTTCAACCTTCGTATCTGTCTCTTTTACATCTTTGAAACACTCTTCTGTTCCCTCCCCCCTCTCTCGATTTTTTCACTTTGATGTGTACTGGATTAATTTTCTTTAGAAGCTATTGTTAGTCACTACATTCTTTTGGCTCTAAAGGGTCTCCAGCACCCAGCAATCACAACCTCCGAACCTATTGTTATTAAAACTTCTTCTGCTTTTTCAACATATGAATTTGAGGTAAATTTTTTGTTAGTCAATTAATCACAAGCACTT